ATATATATATATATATATATATATATATATATATATATATATATATATATATATATATATATATATATATATGTCTTCTGTGATTCATACTATTTACTGCAATTTATCACTATAATGGGCCCAACATTAATTACTGCTAACTTTTCACTGAGCAATTAACTTTGAATTGTTGATTGCCACTGATATTCTGTTAAAACTAGGCTTAAATTATCATTGGTAATTAGTGGGACAAGCAAATTGTAATATTAAATCTAATGTTGAACTCAAATAAAGTGGGAAAAAAATGAATTTAAGAAAAAGTGAATTGAAATGAAAATTTGCACAAATCCTTTTGCGTTATTTCAATATTTAACAATTTATAAAATTAAACTGAAACAATTCTTTTTTACCTTCTACAGTGATCAGGTATGGCAGTAGTAGCAGTAATAATAACGATAACAATAAAATAACAGGCATTTATTACAGTATGATTATAGTTATACTGTAAAGACATTAATGAAATAATTAATTAGTTCCCCAAAATATTATCTGTGCAAATAACATTTCGCAAATAAGTCCTTCGTCATTTTCTCACTGTAATTCAATTAATTTAAATAAAGGAAGAACAATCGTAAAGTTTCATGAATGAGTTAAAATGACTGCAATATGCTTTCTTACTGTACAAGACAATTAACATCTAATCAATGATATTACATAACTTTCTTTTTTTTCCCTCTCTCTCTCTCTCTCCTTCTCTCTCTCCTACTACTACTTTATTGCCGTCGTTTTGATTAATGAGCTACTTTATTGTAATTGTTTTAATGAATACAGTAACATTAAATTCTCTTCCTATTGCATAACATTAAAAGTAATGCTACATATAATTTCATCCTTCGTTTTCCTTTACCTTTATTGTTTGTCTTTTGCTTATTGTTGTTGTTGTTGTTGTTGCTGTCGTTGTTGTTATCATTGTTGTTGTTGTTGTTATCGTTGTGGTGTTACCTGTTGTTGTTATTGTTTGTTGTTGTTGTTGTTTGTTATTGTTGTTGTTGTTGTTGTTCATTTATTTATGAAAACGAGAAAACTTAACAAATTTGTATCAAAATTCATTCATTTTTTTTAAGCAGAAATTCGGTAAACCTCTTTCTAGGACTAGAATTTATTTGTATTTCTATTCGAAAGTTTTATTCTTAAAATATTCATCCATCCTAATTTTTCTCTTGTTTATTTTAACAAAACAACAAAAAACACAATGAATTGCAAATCACCGAATCATTAATGAAGAATCGAAAACCAAAGAAAAGTAAATTATCATGAAAAAAAAGTAATAATTCAAAATGAATAATGGGAGGTGATGATAGAATATGAAGGAGAAATTTTTATTGCATTGGACTTCCAGGATGTATCCAGTTTAGCAAAATAGCAATGTCTTTGATAATTTTCATATAATCGGTTTTTTCTTTCATACAAACAAAAATTCCAATTCAAAATTTAAATTTTCGGAAACGATACCTGTTTGCATTATTAAAAGTTTATTAAAACTTTACTCGAAATTTTAATTTTAAAAGGATACATACTTTGAATTACGAGCAAGTTATTAATTAGTAAAATAAAAAGCGACTAAAAAGTTCTCAAATGAACGGGATGAAAAGGAAATGCTTTACCTCTCAAAAGAGTTTGAGTAATAAATATTAGTTCCTTATTCCCAAACTTTTCATTGCCATTTATAAATTGCTGTTTGCAAGTAATTTCATTTACATTTAATTTTCCTACAACGAAAACTATGATTGGTTTTTTTCTTTTTTTTTTTTACCACCCATTGCTCTGTTCTATTGCTTTTTCACATTTCATTGCTATTTTAAAAAGCATTAACAAAAATATTTTTCTTATCAGAGAAAACGAATTGCTATTTATCTATTCCATACCTTCTGTTTTCAACACTTTTCTATCAGAGAAAGAGGAAAAACACTTTTTTTTTCCTAATATTAGTGCTATTTGAAAATGCATAAACAATTTTTTTTTGTTTTGTGTTGATGAAAGAAGAAGTTATTATTTCTCTTTTTTAGTTTGAGATTTTTTTTTTAAAGCAAAATGGAATAAAAAAGTTTAATTTTTGGTCTAGCCATAGCTTTTGAAGCATAATTTGTATTTTCTATTAATTCATTGAACTTTTTTTAATTTTTAAAAAGTAGACAAAAAATCTCGTTTGGAAAAACTTTTTTTTTAATTTTCCGAGAAGAAATTTTTTTAAAAGTACAATAGACAATTTTCAAAGTGAATTGTGTATTTAGATTTTTAATGGACAACGAATTATTTTCTGAGTCTTTTTTTAATTAGGAATTAATTTCCTTTTATCAGTTATTAAATACTTTTAAATTAAATTGATGAACTTAGTTCTTTTTTTTTATAAGAGTTAATAAGGTTGGGGGATGAATTAAATTTGATGCATTAAATATTTCCTAAAATATTTATTTGCTGCATTAGATAAAGTTATGTTTTAACACTAACCAGCATATATGAAGGGACCAAATAGTTTTACAAATTGCCAAATATACCTCAAAAGTAATAATGAGAAGGCAGAAGGAAGAAAAAAAATGGAAAATCTGTATTCAATGAGATTAGGAATTCTGAAAAGTTTGGTTAAATGCTATTTTAACTTAAATAGTTTTAAATTTGGATTAAATTTTAAATTTGATGTTTTGTTACTGCAAAACATTTTCATGCTGCAATACACAAATGCAAAAATCAATTCATACACTTTTTGTATTTTGGTAGAATATAATTACATCCACTTGCAGGGGATTAGCACAAGAGGAATTGTTTGTACTCAAATAATTAATTTTTGAGTTCAGAGTCAAAATTTTTGAATTTCCATTTTATTTGCATATGTTTTACTTTATTTTATTGAGAAAAATTTTGGCATAAAATATTTCAAAAGCTTTGTTAATACTTTGAATCCTTTTTTTAATTTGAATAAAAAATAAGCAAATGATAAATTTAAACGGAAATATTTAATGATTTTTAACATTGCTATTAATATTATTGCGTTTAATGAGATTTCTACAAAAAAAAAAAACGAAAAAAACAATAAAGCAAAAAAATACTGGGAAAAAACATTTGTAAATTAAATTTCTTTCGAAAATTTATTATAAAATTCATAAAAAAAGATAAAAAATAAAATTAAAAAAAATTAAAGTAAGCTAGCAGATATTAATAAATTGTTGATGGAACCATTTACTATAATCATCGATAGCAATAACTAATCAAATAGAAAATAAAGCAATGTGATGGATAAAGCAATTATGCCGTTGAAGTATACATTGAGTAATAATTAGTGATTAATTAAAATAAATGACACGACAGATATTTATAAACTGCTAGCTATGGTGAAACAAAACTTTTGATGATCGATTATTTGCAATAATTTTTTTTTTCAAAAAAAAACAATTTTCTGCTTTTTTATTTTTTAATGAGAAAAAAAAAGAAAAACAAACAATTCTTTACTTTTTTTTCCCTTCAGAAAAAAATTAAACGATGTTTTAAAAAATGATTCTTTAAAAATATTCATAAAAATGCTAACAATGAGAATTCCCTGCATGCATGAATATGCATGCTATCGTATGACTTCCTAATTGAAACACACTGTGCATTACTGTAGTGCTGGAAATATCTTTCTAAGCAGTAAATACAAGCAAAAAAAGAATAGGGGAAGCATTTAGCAAAAAAAAAGAAAAAACAGAAATGCAAATGCATGTGTGATGCATGGTGTCAGCATGTCATAGTAATTATAACGGTCGAAAGAAAATATCGCTCGGATGGTACCGTAACAACACCTATTCTCTATATTACTGTAGCGACTTACAAATATTACTGTAACATATTACCACTTTTCGTCTTCGATTTCCAATATCACTATAAAAAAACTCTTTTGCGATATCAGTAATCAGTACTTGATAAGTGATAAATTTCGTTAATGATAAATGTCACTCGATAAATTCAAACGACAAAGCTGCAATACTTCACAAACATACTAATTATGGTTATTTTTCTTCAAATTACTTTGCGCAACTAATCATTTGTTGGCATTTTACTACTTATTACTTATTATTATTACTTTACTAACTTATTGCAACCAATCATAGTCATGATTAGACTATAATTAAATTATAGGAAACTACAAGTTATGGCTTAAATTATAACTAATTAATTAACTTATTACTTGCCGATAATTGATTTTACATAAAATTCATCAATCTTAAGAACAACAAGGAAATTGTTCTTTTTTAATGCTTTTTTAATGCCCCCAATGTTCTACATAATGCAAAACTTGGAACTTAATTCTTGCATTTCGAATATAAAATTACAGTTAAAGTTGTGGTAGTAATCAGTTAGAAAGATGAACAATAAGAATTGAAATAGGCAAAAGAAACATTTAAAAGGATGAAATAAACTATACAACGTAACTTTATTTGCAGTAAATAAGCAAATGAACCAAAAAGGAAATTGTTGATTATTCATATTATTGATTTATTCTTGTCGAGAATTCTGATCATAAGTTAAACTTTTCGTAAGATTGATTAGTAAGAAAAATTGTTGAATAAGATCAATACCTTAGAAACTTTATTTTTATCTTTACATCACAATAACATCATCATGCTTCATTTTCCAAATTTCAACATTTAAATGTGGAAAACATATAAGCATATTATAATTAATTTAATTTCGCTTTAATTATTTCAAAAGCCAGTATTGTCATCATTTATCAATTTCTATACATCGGTGAGTGATGTCATATTTTCCACATAATACGACGGCTGCTGGTGCTCATTCAGTTGTTGCTACTTATGGCGACGATTATGACGATGATGATGATGATAATGATGATGATGATGATTGTGGCGGTATTGGTAGCAATTTAGCTGGTAATTTTATTCCAATTGCTTTATTCCCTTGAATTTAAAAAAAACTTTAAAAAAAATTCACTTCAAATTTTTTGTCATTTTTCATTTGAAAATGATTAATGCTTACAATTTTTCCAATAATCAAATTTTTACTAATACTGTTCACGCATATCATCGTATACCATCCAAAATCTAGTAGAAATATTTCTGCGGAATAATTATCATCCCGACATTCTCAGATCTTGGTATGTATTAAATGCTTATCTTGATATTTTCTCATGATTATCGTGATATTATCAAATATCATAAGACAATGTAAAAATAGCAACAACCCTGATGGGCAGATTTAGTTGAAGTAGTTGCTTTTTTGGATTTATTTCCTTCTAATGTCATTATTGGTGGTGCATTTTTCCCATTATCTATCTTTTTGATAGATGATAATGATGATGATAATAGCGGTGATCTCGTCACCGAGTCTTCTTTAGTGGATGAAGTTTGTGTTGTCTGTATTTTAGTTCCCGTTATAAGCGGTCTTCCTTTCCTTTCATTTCTTTCCGATTTAGAAAACTTTAACAATGTTGCTGTTGGCATGAATTCATTTTCATCTTCTGTCATAAGATAAACCGGTAAAATAGCTGTTTCCGGTTTTTTTCTTTAAAATGGAACACAACTGGTTGTCCTCCTTCGATATGTGTCATATGTGATGGTAATTCTGGTATCTGTAATTCATTTATCATTCCATTGAAGATATACTTTCAAAAAACCTTACCAAAGAACCAACGATGAAATCTGAAATTTTGCTCTTTCCATCAAAATACTATTTTATTCGTCCATTAGCTTAGTCTTGACATTCGTTAATTCTATAGTCATTAGAGCGGAATATACAAGCAGAAATTTTTCATCTCTTGTCAACTTGAAGAAAATTGATAACAATTTTTTCATGTAAAATGCTTAAAAAAATGGAAGGACACAAGTTCCTTTTACGAATATAATTTAAAAGGAAAAAAAAATTACAGTTTTGAGATAATCATCAGTATCAATAATTTGTGTAAGCGTCTGTTCTTCACCAGTTTTGGAATTTGTTAAAGTATCACTTATATGAATTGGATAGAACTGCCAAACTTTTTCTAGTTCCTGAGTTTTCTACAATTTTTACATTTTACTCTCTCATCTTAGATACAATTATAATATTTTTTACCAAAACATTAATTATTTCCATAAATTAGCTGAAAATTTTGGATTAAATTTGTATGATTAATGTTGAAAGCTTTTTAACCAATGGAAATGCCGCGAATTTCTATAACTAAAATGTTTCAATCATAAATTTGGTGAAAAATTCTTGGCCAAAATTAAACACTAATTTCAGAACATTTTCATCCCAAGAAAGGAACATTTTATAAAACTAATAAAACATAATTTAATGTTGAAAATTAAAAACTAAAAATATACAAAAGTTTTGTCCAAAAAATTTGCTAAACTAAAATACTTCATTATCTAAAAATAGAAATGTCATACTTTCACAAATAATGATTTATTTAATCGTTTTTCATCATCCAACGGAATTCGTGGCATTTGCTTATCTTCTTCCAACGTTAATATTTTTGGCCTCATTAAAAATAGGAGAATAATTGCAAACAACATAATTATTACACTTACTAATGCACCCAATATGATTACCTGTAATGGGATTTTATTGCCAATAATTTTAATGATTTCCTTTAAAGTGAATAGCAAAATAATTTGCAGAAAAACTTTCAAATCAATTGGAGAAGGAAGGATCATTAAAATTATTGGCAATGAAATCCTGCTATAGGTAATCATATTGGGTTCATTAGCATGTGTAATAATTATACTGGAGAAAATAATCCGACATTATTACTGGTGGGAAGTAAGCAATGAATGTTGACATTTCAGATGTCAACTTAATGTTAATGGCGGTGACAAGCCTGAACGGTATGAAAGAATGTCATTATAGTATTTGCTAAATATGATTAATTATTTAAGGGTGGAATTAACTGTTGGTAGTGTGAAAGTCACATTAATTTTAAAAACCAATAAATATGGTTACACTTTTTGGGATTTATCTTCGAATTTCCAAAACATTATAAAAGTTTGACTCATTTTTGCACTTCTTTTGGTCTTCTGATCTAGGGCTCTAAGTTCAAAGAAGAATGTAAGGGAAAGATAAGAAATAGATCCAAGCCAAAATGGAGAAATAAGCCAAGGATGTAAGTAACAAATACCACACTTCAGTTTGAAAAAATAGAAGCAAAAATATTGCTTTGAGGAATTTTAATTTATTTTTCCTTGAAATGCTTGAAATGACTAATCCTAAACGGAACATATTTTTAAATAGATTATCTTAAAAATGCATACTAAATTAAAAATGGATAGTCTACTGTAATCCGGATGATACGATAAAGAGCTAGAGGCGAAACCGGTTTGTACAGTGTTCACAATCACAACAGGCAGTAACCAGATAACCATAATCAAAAATGATCTAAGAAACATAATTTATTCTCTCCCTAACCTTTTCCTTTTGTACTCATCGAAATAATTTGCATAATATCTTTTTTGGAATGGAAATTCTTAAAATTCGATTCAATAAATGAGAAAAAGAGAGAAATATCTAACTTTATGAAAGGTGATATTCCTTTTCTTTCTATCATTTAATTAACTTGAATTCAAATTTAAATTAAAGTATGCAACGATGCTATCGATATCGATGAAAGATTTAAATATTCATCAAACTATTTTAAAAAAAAATTACTTCTCTACCTCTATTTACATTTCTCCTTCATTCGCTGTTCCCGTTATCATCAGGATATTCGAGAGAGTTACAGTTCCCACATCTCTGTAATTTGATATATTAACACAACATCACGTTATTCACGCTACTCACGTGGAGTTTTCTGGAGACTTTATCTGTTGGTAAGTGTTCACAGTGATCAGAACGATCAGATTATTTTAACGTAACGTACATTTTCTGATCAGCAGACAGTTTATGGTTTTGACGGAAAGGTTTACGGATCAGTTTTGCATCTAACTGAATGTCATTTTCAGAGATTTACTGATATTTGCAAAAAAATAACTTTAGAAAAAAAAGGAAAAAATAGTATAACAACAGAGAGTAAGCAAGTTAAATAATTAATAATCAATAACAATAATTAATATATCTAAAATAAATAACTCAACTAACCACGCATAAGACAAGCAAGCGGGAAATAAGGAAAACATAATTTAAATGAATAAAATGTGGGAAGATGTAAATGGATAATTAAATTAAGTAAGTAAGTAAATGGATTATTAAGTGAAAAGTAAGTAAATAAATTATTAAATGTAAAATGAAACGGGAAAGTATGTAGCAACTAATGCATGCATAAAAGTATTGTATTTTTGAAGCAAACCACCCACACAATATACATTGCCTTCCGATTCATAAAATTAAAAGTAGCAGTAAAATTGAGGAAAATTAATCAAGAATGCAGAATTTTATAGGTAAGAAAAGAAAATAAAAAGAGAAAAAAAGAAATTTCCTACTACTTGAAAAATGCAAAAATTGAAGCTACTTGTATAGGTTACTGTATAGGTTTTGTATAAGTATAGGTTACTTATAGGTTATTCGTCAACTTAGATATGCAACAAAGATAATATATGTATTGTATATGCATGCATGTATGTGATGAATGTCAATGCATGTCGACATGAATGTATGTGACATACCTTTGCTCCTAATATCTATGTTTGTGACTGTCTGGATGCATCCGTGCATGTGACATTGACGTATGCTCCCAATCAGTTTCCTTCGGGAAGTGAGCAACTATTGATGGATCCGGATTATCGGATCGTCACGTATGAAACGTTCTGATGTGGCACTTTCAATTTTTTCTTCCTTTATCAAATTTGTTAATTAAATATCTAAAAAAATTCCCTACAAATTTTTAACGGAACGTTATAGATGGGAGTGTATGATTATGTCCATACATTTATACGTGTCCATATACGTGAGTACACATGTTAACGAATTAACGACGTGTGCTTACGCATAGATTTGTATACGGACGTGTGACGTATATATATGTATATATATGTTTGTGTATTTGAGCATGCATGTTGTATGTGTGTGTGTGTGTGTGTGTGCGTGTGTGTGTGTCGTATGTGTTTGTATATGCGTGTATACATGCCTGTGTATGCGTGTGTATGTGTGTGTATGTGTGCGTGTGTGCATAGACATATACCCATGTGCGCACATGTTGTATGAGGAGCTGGCAATGTGGCATAGTGAGGCTCACCCGCTGTCACCGAATTGTTGGCAATTGGATGATTTAATCGTTCTTCTGCAACTTTTTATTGATAACTGGGGACATTTATCTTCCTGGAATAAAGAAGAATGATCGGGAATGTTCTGGAGTGATGTTGAAGGGATGATATATTATGGTACTTGATATAGAAACCACGTGTCATCCATCATTCGTCTCACCGTTCGCATGAACTTATATTTTCTTCGAGATTTTTGTTCACGAATGAATTCTAGATTATTTATCTCATTCTTCTTGTCATCTACATTATCATATCGCGAAGGGAATACTCTGGTATTCCAATGACCGGAAGTAATAGGGGAGGGGACGGGGAAATTGTGGTACTGTGCCGATTTGTGAGGTTCGTGAAAAGGGTCATTTCCAGTTTCGTGTCATCAAGTAATGATGTAAATTTTCATGTGAACAACTACCGACAACTTATATGATTTTTTTTTTTATTCTCGCATCGATTCCGGATTTCATGGTTTCAGTATTTGACATTTAACAATATATTTCAATGAATCTTTGATAACTGGTAACTTTTACATATTTTTTGAACAAAATATTCAAATACTGACAATAATGAATCGTTGTAGGAGTTGGAATTGAGTTTGTGGGTGAATTTGCAAATTAGCAAATAGTGTATTGCATAGTAGAAGATGTCATTAAAATCTGTCGTCTTGGGTGATGATCGAGAAGCATCCATCAAGCATCAGGTAAAAAACAAAAGTCTTACGTATTTTTTCTGGAAGATTAGACAACGATTGACGCACCAGTTGCCGGCCAGATCATTCTTCCGAGGTTGTTTGCGAATAGTTGTTGAAGTTTAAGCTGAAACCATTTTATTCAGGTAAAGACGTGAAGTCTCAAGATTATTTAGCAGTACAGATAGGTGGTTTGAAATGTATTAACCAATTTTCTTCATGATACAGCCATTTGTAGTTTATCAAAAATGAACTTGAATGACATTATGAAAATGCACTCCTGCGGAGAGATGTCGTAGGTGAATTGAAAAAGTAAAAAGGGACGAAAGGTTTTTGCTGATATTTCAGTAAATTTCATGCACTAAGGAACAATACAAAATGCTTTCCAACTTTGAACCGTCGGTTTTTTTTTCCAATTGCAGCAGTGAGAATTTAAATTTTAACTCAGTCATTTATGAAATTTTCGTTGGATTCCATTAGAAAATTGAAACGAAGTTACTGCGAAACTGACATGTCGTTACTTATTGTTCACTTGTTCTCGTCGTTGTCTATTTACCTGATTTTATGCTTTCAGATTGTATCGGTACATAAAGCGTTAAACAAAAATGAAGCACCGTTAAAGCACAAACACGCACGGCAAGTGATCGTTGGGACGCATAAAGAGAAATCTTGTGCATTATTTTGGAGTTGTATTTCACGCATTCAGCTGGAAAAAAATCCAGTCATTAGTTGGAAATTTTGTCATTTGCTTCACAAGGTGTAGAATAGATTTCCAACTTAAAGATTTCCAAACTTAAAATAGATTCCCAACTTAAAAAATTTCCAATACATGAATTGCAGTCTATTCTTCATCAATTTTTTTAGGACTCCTACCATTGGTATTGGGAAAATTTATTAGGATTGTATTAGAAATTTAACTTTTGTGTAAAGGTTGAATAATCCGTAAGCAATACGAATGGCACTATCTGCAGTTTTCACTATTTTCAGTTAATTATTTTATATTTCAGCACGCAGTAGTAGATATTTCAGAGCCATAACAATCTTTGCTTTTCAGTTTTTTGCAACAGTGGTCAGGAATTCCAATAGATGATACATTACTAAAAAGGAATTTGCTTATATTTTGAATTAGCTGACCTTTTATAGATCTATAAATGTTAACTTGCCCTGACAATATTGTGTCGGTTTACGCTTTTTGCAGCTAATCCAGGATGGTCATCGCAAAGTGCTAGAAGAATCTATTCGATATAAAACCCGTATCGAAGCACTGGGAAACTTTTGGTATCATCTTGAGAATTCCGATTATGGTCGGCCTAATTCTTCTTATTGTAAAATGCTCGTTAACCGTCTCGAATTTCACAACCGGGTTAGCATCTTTTGTTTTTCGATCATTTGTTTTTCGTGTAGACTTTCGTTCATGCATACTTCGGAATTCTTAGTTTCTTTAAAAATCCCGAATTTATGTTCCTTTCAGAATCATTCTGTACCGGGGAATTTAAGACTAAGCGCCAATCAAGTTCAAGCTTTAGCAAATGCCGATGTGAACCAATCGTTTGAGCTTTCAGTTGAAATGTTAGATCAGATGGATGATTTGCTAGCTTTGCAGGCAGCCGGTAATTCTTTTTTAAATGAACTCTATTGTCTGATTAGAAGTCAAAGTATTATGCTCGAAACTTGTATCATTTTAGTTCTCAGAAAAGTGGACACTGTTAATTGGAGCTCCTTGGTCCCTCAAGGACAATGCATGTTATCACCATTAATACTCATAATTCTTGATACAAGCAAATTCTATGATCATCTGGTGAAATTAATTTTCAAGCTGCACTCAAGTAAGTGCTATTTTCTATTCGTGTAGTACGCATGACAAGTTAGCAGAAAAACAAACTTTTTTGAAGTTTCTATATAGTACTTTGAAAATAGGATCTCTGGTAGTTTTGATCAGAACAGGCTTTTGTTTTTGGCAGTTCCTTCACCTAGCTTGGACTGGTACTTAGTTCACATCTTCAAGAGTGCGACACGCCCTTCTTTCTTAGGTTATTTTTTGCGTCTCTTAATATTTGCGATTTTGTTTCAGTCATTACGTCCTGACACATTTCCAGCCTTTAAACTTTTTAGAATTGCCTCCAGATGCATTACTTGGTCACAGAAGTCGATTCAATTCGATTTTTCGGCAAACGAAAGAGTTTTATGAAACTTCAACAAATTTACAGTATTTCAAGTTCCTAGTCTCAATCCCAAAATTGCCAACATATCCCCCTAATTTCCTTCAGGTAGCATATTTATTTCGCCCTCGACTTATTCACTTTTCAGTTTCGGATTTTTAATTTTACGACTATTTCGAGATGTCTTCTTAAAGGCAATTCAGAAAAATTTTAGGCGTCTGAATTGGAAAGTTATCAAACACCAAATGCTTATCTTCATGGTGATAGCGTTAGTGAAGCGGATACCCCTCCTGATGAACGATCTGTAGCTGAGGAAAGTTTAATCGATGCTGTAGAGACTGGGTTCCAGAATAGTTCTGGTCATATGGACTCAAAGTAATTATTGTGCTACTTCTCTGCGGTACTACACCGTTGCAGTATTAGGACTTTATTTTTCTCACTTTGAGTTTCATTTACCAGGTTTCCTTATCGTATTCTTTTTAATTTTATCATTGGTTTCTTCTTTCTTCTTGAATATGTCGTAATTTCAGAGATGCGATAATTGAAGCTTTAAGGCGGGATGTGGAAGACACGCGTTACCATAATGAAAGGCTTATGAACGAGGTGTGTTTGACGTTTAAAGATTTTTTTACCCAACTGGTCTGTTTTTTCTTCTACTACAGTTAGTTTTCGCTGGAACTTTGACTTGGACTTACTGCTTTTAGAGATTTCTCTTTACTTTGCAATCATTTTGTTTTACTTTAAAAATTGCACTTACGACGTTATTTAAGGCACGTGCTCGTATTGAACAGTATGAAAAACGTTTAGTGCAAGCTCAGCAGGAAAATGATCATTACAAGCATACACTGGATGAAATGAAGGTGCATATGAATATTTGTTTGTTATTATTACTTCGCGCATTTTTTCAAACTAATTTTCTATGCTTAATATTTTTCGTAATTTTACGTTTCGAAATTTAGGGCGAAGTCGATAGATTACGGCAGTTAACCATAGCGAGGGGACAGCAGGCAACCGATGAAGCTCGTCTACTTGAAGCTGAACAAAAAGCTCAAAGCAATGAACTTAATTATCAGAAAATGAAGAGCGCTTATACTAACTTGCGGCAGGAGCACATTGAGGTTTGCTTTTGTGTTTATGCGTAATTGATATTTTCATTTTTTTTTTCCTTTTTTTTTCAGAGCATTTAGTCAAGAAATATCAACTTCACACCTATGTAGCGTGCTAATCCAACCATAACTTCCCTTTTTTTCTGCTGACTAGAGAATTTTTAGGCACTCACGAAGCTTTCCGAAGCTCAGAAGGAATTAACATCCTGTCAAATGGAGAAGCAAACTAGTGAAGAAACCATTTCAAATTTGGAAAAGAAGGTGACAGAACTGGAACAAGAAAGAGTAGTTATAGAAGAAAAAATGCAAGATGCTAATACTGTTGTCAATAGCTTCCAAAGAAGGGTAGCTGAACGAGATGATGAAGTTCAGGAACTGAACCAGGTATATTGTAGATCAAAAAGTATTGATAAAGTTACTGATGATTAGGATAAATCAAATGAACACGTAAAACTTGGCAGCTGTTTATATGTACATGATTTTGACAGATAGAGCGTTTATTTATTTGTTTTTTCCACCATTCGTTCTTTACCATTCAGTATGTTGAATGCGAATATTTTTAATATCAAGTCACCTAATTTCCTTTTCTATTTGGATAAGAACTCAAAAATAATGACATAGTAGTAGTAAGCAATATAACATAGTAATAGTAAGCAATATCAGATTGTTTGAAAATAAAATCTATCAAAATATCGAGAGGAATATTTGGAATTAGAACAGAAAATTCGATCCTTGAAGGTAACAATTAATTGAGGTTCGACAAAGTTGTTTCAAAGGAATATTTGTTTGCCCAATAATTTTTTGGCTGATTGCTGTTAAATGCTACATTATTTAAACTTATATCTAGAGCAAGACCAGACCATGAAGTTTTCTAGAGTGAAAAAGTTGAAAACGATAAAATTCACGGATGACTTAAGATTGCTAAAATGACCTATAGTAGGGCTGATGCGGAAGATTTAGAAATTGTAGAAAAAGATGTGTACGCCACGGTTAGCTGTACCAATATATTACTTTTACCTCAGTCTTTTGCAAGCTTTGTGATCAGAGGTAAAGCAATTCATACCAAGGAATTTAGTTGAATCAAGCAGGATTTTTGCAGACACTAGAACAAATGAAAGCAGAAAATATCAAGAATATGCTAGAAATGGAAGAAAAAACAAAGTCAAACTGCACACTGTCCGGGAAAGCTTATTTTGTAATAACAGTTTCTTCTGTTTTTTATTCTCCAATCTGTTTTATAACTTTTTCAAGCATCGGCTATCCTCTATGATAATTGTATTACTGCATATTTTCACCTTATGTATTTTACTATTGCAGCTTCACTGGGTGAAGTATATGAACAAATCTTGAAACAGTTGTGTGAGGATCTCCAGGATGCTTTATCAATCACTTACCCCAGTCGTAAGCAATTTCTATTCTTTTTTGACAATATCATAAATGTTTTATTTAACTTGGCAATGTTTCTGTTTATCACAATTTTGCGAAACTATTATTAAATTGATAGTATTGATCGTAGTATCACTGTGGGCAGTAATTTTATTATGAATTTATCTTTTGTCGTAAATTTTTACGAATGTTTGAAAAAATCTGTGGGAGGAAAGGTTAGAGTATTTTTGATGTTGGTTTCATTGTATAACACATAATTCTTTAGATTCGCTGTTGATGACAGATGTGAAATGAATTTCAGAATTAGTTTTACCGGCTCTTCGTTTTATCGTCGAGATTACTGAAAAAGCAATTAATGAAGCTGATGCTGAACAGTCTGACAAGTTATTTCGCACTTTAACTTTTTTGGGCCATTATCTTGCAGATGTTTTATTGAATAGCGCTGCTGCGGCTAATGTTGTTTCCATCCAGTATTTTCAAAGTATGTTGATAATCACTGCTGTTATTCTTGCATTTGATAATGAGTATGGTTATTTAATTCATTTTGGATTGTGAATATCTTATTTTGTTCGATTTAGAATATGAGGAAAAAGAAAAATAACTTGAAGGTACATTTAATAGAAATCAAATTTCGGAAACTTAACAAATTATAGTTCGTGATATCTTTTTATTTCTAAACATCATTTGTTCCTAGAGATCCTGCACTAATTAAATTAAAGGAATTTTTGATTGCTACTACTTGCATTGTTCGCATTGCAGTAGTGCAGGAGCAATGCTATGCTGTAATAGCTAATGCTGTTGCTGCTTATTCAGTGGTTGGAAACCCAAGTTTGAAGTCTATTAAAGAACCTTTCCTGAAGCTAAAGGTAAGTTGACATATCTGTACGTGTTAATGCTATCAATATTCCAATTATTGACCGTCGTTAGAAGTGATGTCTTTCTACAAGCAGAATGACTATTTAACTCATTTCATTATTTCATTATTTTTATACCATTTTTAGAGTTCTTTGGAAAAGTTGGAAGAAATTTGTCTCAATTTGCCAGCTGGTTCAAGTGATATGACGGCTGAAGTGATCGGTGCTGAGCTTGAGCAAGAGATGAAACGTATGGATGAAGCGATTCAAAAAGCTGTAGAATTGATTGAGGAAATGCAAAAGAAAAGTCGAGCCATTGATTCCGGGATACGGTGAGCGATTTTTAGAATTCGTGTATTCTAGTGGAAAGGCTAGAAATTTCTTGGGCAGGGGTCATTGTCATCATGTTCAACGTATTTTCTGTGTAAGTTCATGAAATGATCGTTAGTTCGTTCACTTATTTTGAAAAATGATCAGATGGTTTATGAATGTAAAACTATGTTTCAGTTTAAAAGTTAACGAAGGAATTTTGGATTCTTGTAACCAATTGATGGCAGCAATAATAACACTGGTAGCAAAAAGTCGCGCATTGCAAGAAGAAATCGTTGCTGCTGGTCATGATACGGCTAATCCAAATGAATTTTATAAGCGAAATCATCAGTGGACTGAAGGTCTACTTTCAGCAGCTAGAGCTGTCGGAGTTGCAGCCACTGTGCTTGTGTAAGTCATCTATTGTATAATTTAAGAAGGGCTTACTACTTATTGCATAATTCTTATTCCGTTTCAGCATGCAACAGGAACAGTGTGCTTTTGTTATTATAGTTCTTACTAGAATTCTAGATGTAATAATTTTTAAATGAGCAACTTTTTCCCATCAATGATGTTTAAATGATGTTGTAAAGTTACTTTCAGGAATATATGTATTTCTGATATATTACTTAGTGTTGTTGCATCTCTCACTTCTCATTTGCAGTCAGAGGGCAGATGATGTGGTTTCTTGTCAAGGCAAATTGGAATATTTGATTGTTGCATCACAAGAGATTGCAGCGAGCACTGCGCAACTATTTGTATCATCTCGTGTAAAAGCAGACCGTGAATCACAACGACTGAAGGAACTTTCTGCAGCATCCTGTTCAGTGAATACCTGTACTGCAAATATTGTTGCTACGGTGAAAAATGCCCAAATTACCTTGAATGAGCAGAGTAAGTTTTCGTTCTATTGAGGACGTTTCAGTAAAACATTTTCCTTCAAGATATCAAGAAGTAAACTCATGCCATATTAGTAATAATTTTTGAGATTGATTTTAATTATCTTGTGCTTCATTTTTGTTATCAACATTTTTAGCGCATAACAGCGTAATACAATAATTATTTTCACCAATATCGTGAATAGCAAGCGAGTATCTAATTTGGTTACATAGCGGCGAAGTATCAGCTTCGAAATTTCTATGTCTTGCTTTTGGCTTAATCATAAAAAATGCGCTGAGAAAGATATAATTTTACCCTGCTACATCAGAAAACTAAAGCGGATTTTTTTAGGAGATCTCGACTTTAGTCATTATACTCTACACGATACAAAAAAAGAAGAAATGGAAAGCCAAGTACGTATTTTGGAGCTGGAAGATAAGTTAGTACGCGAACGGATACGTCTTGCACAGCTTAGAAAACAACATTATCAGCTTGCACAAATTGTTGAAAGTGATAGTGGTTCTGCTGAGAAATAATTTGAGAAGAAGGACTTTATCGTCAACTGGAATGACGAACTCGAAAATTTGTCATTTGTTATGGGAATCTAGAATTTTGTTTCAGTATTTTCTTTAAAATCAAAATGAGCCTTCATCGTTTTCATTGTACTGTATTATATAAAACTATGTATTTTTAGAGCTTTTATGGTAGCCAGTAAAGTAGTGACATCATTTTGTTATGATTTTCTCTTAATCGAATCAGATTTCATAGTGTTGTCGTTCTCAAACTAACATACAAAGGTTTATTTAATGGTTCTCTTAGAGCGGAAGAGATCGATTCTACTACAGTTCAGGAAAATTCTGGATTGCTAAGCATGCCAGTAAAGATGCTTTATTGTATATTATCTTTTTGACTCATTCAATTTTATGAATTGGAAATTTGAATTATAAATAAAGTTCTCACACGCCAGTGTAATTTGTCGTGTTTGAGGGATTAGATTGTTGAGTTTCATCTTTAATAAGATGACAAAAGTTATGAGTTATTATAATTCCGTGTGATATTGTTCCTGTGGTCACTAGTATTTCATGTATCGTTGTTTCTATTTGTCTCATATATCTGCTTCCTTTAATTTTATATAGTCTTTAAATGTAAATTGCATATGCCTTGATTGATGATAACTATAAACGCATTTATGAACAGAAAAGTAATTTTTGTTAGGTATAACTATGTTTTTATCGTAATTTTACTAATAATTGCTCTAATCTGAATTGATAATCAGCTCGATTCGTTTTGATCTTCATATGTTAAAAATCGATGATCTATTTATAATTTGCACCATTTTTTTCCGTAAGTTTCAGGATTCTCAATTTTTTTATTGTTGCAATTTGTGGAAACTATATTTTGTATATTATTTTTCATTCATTTATTTTATGGTCATTTATGCCAAAATTTCCAAATAGCAGCAATCAAATCTTGAGTTGCTTTTGTCAGTAGTTCAAAATAATAAATTATCAACTGTTATAGTTGTACTATTTTTTTCATGCATATCAGTTGTTGCCAAAAATGACGCACTACTTGCAACAATAACCTACCATTATTCATTATGGTTTTCTTCTTTTTGCGTAGGTTGTCTGAAGGTTGTTAAAATCGGCAAATTAGTGAAAATGCTTCGCTGATTTTCTTCGTCACAAGATATTCTTTTAAAATAGTGGACAATTTCTGTTCATTCTTCCCGGTAAGCTTTCTCCAGTTCCATAGCAGTGAATATTTTGGATAGTTGCAAAGATGGAATTGAGACTGCATGACACTATGGA